TTTTATCTCTAGCTGCTTTCAGAATTTTCTCTTTATCCTTTTATTTTGCCAGTTTCACTATTATATGTCATGCAGAAGATTAATTCAAGTTATATCTGAAGGGAGTTCTCTGTGCCTCTTGGATTTCAATGCCTGTTTCCCCAGATCAGGGAAGTTCTCAGCTATAATTTGTTCAAGTACACTTTCAGCCCCTTTCTCTATCTCTTCCCATTATGGCATCCCTATTATACATATATTGTTACCCTTGATTGCATCACTTAGTTCTCTAATTCTCCCCTCATACTCCTGCATTTTTTTAATCTCTCTTTTTCTCAGCTTCCTCCTTGTCCACAATTTTATCTTCTAATTCACCTATTATCTCCTCTGCCTCTTCAATCTGTGCTATGGCTGCCTCCATTTTATTTTGCACCTCATTTATAGCATTTTTAGCTCCTCTTGGCTGTTTCTTAGTCTCTTGTTCTCTGTGGTAATAGATTCTCTGCTGTCCTGTATACTTTTCTCAAGCCCAGCGATTAATTTTATGAATATTATTCTAACTCTATGGTCCATTATATTTCTTAAATCGTTTTTGATCAATTCATTAGCTGTCGCTACTTCCTGGAGTTTCTTTTGAGGAGAGTTCTTCAGTTTCATCATTTTGGGTAGTCCCTGGAGTGGTGAGGAACTGCAGGGCACTTCCCCTGTGTTGTCTGGAGTAACTTGTGTTGGTGGGAGGGGCTGCAATCAGACCTGATGTCTGTCCCCAGTCCACAGCTGGGGCCACAGTCAGACTGGTGTGCACCTTATCTTCCCCTCTCCCAGGGTCAGGACCCACTGTGGAGTGGTATGGCCCCTGTCTGGCCTACTTGCATACTGCCAGGCTTGTGGTGCTACTTTGATGGTATTTGCCGTGTTAGCTGGGGTGTATCCGCAAGGTACACAGGGGTGGGAGGTGCAGGCTTAGCTCACTTTGTCTTCAGTGGTCCCCTCGGGAGGAGCCCTGCACCACCAGGAGTGAGGCAGACCCGTCGGAGGGATGCATCCACAGAAACAGTGTTGAGTGTGTGTGTGGTGCAAGCAAGTTTGGTGACGGGAACTGGTTCCCTTTGGTATTTTGGCTGAGGGATGGGAGAGGGAGATGGCACTGGCCAATGCCTTTGTTCCCCACTGAGCTGAGGTCTGTCTTCCAGGGCTCAACAACTCTCCCTCCCGGTGTCTTCTCACCCTCCTGCTCTCTGAGCAGAGCTGCTGATTTTTAGCATTCCAGATGTTAAGTCCCGGTGGTTGTCAGAACTCACACAGTGAGGCCCCTCTGCTTTTGCAAATCAGAGTCAGTGGCTCTGTCCTGCCAGGCGGCTGCCCCTCCACCGCCCTGGCTCCCTCCCGCCAGTATATGTAGTGCACATTGCCCCTCTGCCCTTCCTACTCCCTTCCGTGGGCCTCTTGTCTATGCTTGCCTCTGGAGAGTCCATTCTGCTAGTCTTCTGGTGGTTTTCTAGGTTATTTAGGTAGATGTGGGTGGAATCTAAGTGATCAGCAGGACGCTGTGAGCCAGCATTCTCCTACGCCTCCATATTCTCCTTCTTCCTGGACTCTTGTTTTTTTGGCAGATTTTTGATTACTAATTCAATTTCCTTACTGGTTATGGGTCTGTTCAAATTTTCTATTTCTTCCTGTTTCAGTTTTGGTAGTGTATATGTTTCTAGTAATTTGTCCATTTCTTACAGATTACTTATTTTATTGGCATATAATTGCTCATAATATTCTCTTATTATTGTTGTTATTTCTGTTGTGTTGGTCGTGATCTCTCATCTTTCATTCTTGATTTAATTTATTTGGGTCCTTTCCTTTTCCGTTTTGATCTTACTGGCTAGTGGTTGATCAATTTAGTTAATTCTTTCAAAAAACCAACTTCTGGTTTCATTTATCTGTTCTACTGTTTTTTTTTTCTTTTGGTTTCAATAGCATTAATTTCTGCTCTAATGTTTATTATTTCCTTTCTTCTGTTGTTTTGGGGTTTTATTTGCTGTTCTTTTTCCA